ATCATTTTAATTTATTATTGCAAATTAAATACCGCTTATACAAAAAATATTATTTAGCCCAATTATTAAATAAATAATCATGAGAATTATCAATGTATAATAGTAATTCACAGGCTTTAGATGAATAAGACTTTACGCTTACGTATTAGAATTATTGAATTTAAATGTACTTTTCCCTTCCCTTAATTCCATTACCTTCTGCATTTATCTCAATCTTACTTTACAAGTTTTCAACATCACATTTTCACCTATACAGGTCTTTAAATAATTAATACTAGTTTCAAATAGATTTTATCCTTCCACTTATTTCTCCTGCAGATTTTTAAAAACACAAATTATCCATATTAGACAAGCAGAATTAAATTACCGCGTGATCCTGACCGAGTCGAACGAAAAATGATTTTCCGTACAAACAAACAAAAAACAAAAAAAAAAAGAAGAAGAAAATGTCTTAAAATGCTTAAAAGATATTTCTTAAGTCGAAAAATACAAAGGAACATTATAATGTGAGAGAAAACTAATATTTTACAATTACAATTAAATTTTTAAATACCGAGTTACGTATGAAAAAGCGCAACTTATATTTTACTTGGTCGTTCAACAAAGAAACTGGATTATCCGATACCAAACTCTGTTTTAAAATTTCTTTTTTTTTCTTTCTTCGAAATAATCGCATTCTAATAATCAATGCATACAAACTTGCGAAAAACATGAGATACGCGATTGCGAATATAAAATGGACATTGCAATAGGGTATTAAAGTTTTTAAGTATATCAACTGATTGCACCTAAAACGAGATTATAAATATTTTACGTATTTGCATGAAATTCCAACGACAAAACAATAAATAACGGCAAATTAATAATTTCGTCAAATATGAGTATGGAAGGGACTGTCGTTTGAAAATCTCATGTTCCAAATGCAATGGCAAACCATTGGTCGAGTGATAAAGCAATCAAGACGTATTATAAAATTAGCATAGACTAACATTTTCCCGAGACCTTAAATGCACCGACACATCTAACACACGTCGCGTCCCTATTCCGAAAAAAAGAAAAAACAAAGACGAACAACGCACTTTTATAAACACGACGATCGAGCTGTTTTTTCTCTCTTGAAAAGCCTCGTTCGCAATGAGATTCACCGCGTCGCTCACAGTTGAGAACGGGAGTGGAGAAATGTCTGTCGAATGGTAAAATAAAACGTCCCGTAATAAAATCGCTCCTTATTCCTCCTCTTATTCCTTATTATTCGGACTTCGAGCATTATATTCTACCTACACGGGTATTAAGGTGGACATTGCGTGCGACAACGCTTGACTCGCTCGACCGACGCTGGACGTCTGATCTGGGCCAGATACACTCGAGCGAGCCACCCTCCCCTCCTTATTACGCAGCTCACACACACACACTCTTCTCTCTCTCTTCTCTCTCTCTCTCTCTCTCTCTCTCTCTCTCTCTCTCTCTCTCTCACTCTCAATCCTACTTCTGGCTTCTGGCCTATTGTTGTTTCCACTTTCTCTCACGTTCGATCATCACTATTTCGTTGCGGTCACTATTTTTCGGTACTATTTATCAACTCGATCATTTATTTCTCTATTACTTAGACTCTCGTCTACAAATACAATGAGGTTTTCTTTATTTTCGTGAACAACTCCGTCAACCCTTGAACTTAAAACGATTATTCAATTTTGTATACAAATTTCTTTTATCTTAAATATAATCACAACCATTATATTCGGCAATTAAAAAGTCACCGATCTTTATTTAATAATATTATCTTTAAACAAATTCTCATTATTCTTAAGAGTCACAGGCATAAATCGCCATTACGATCTACCAGCTATACGTCGCTTACCCATACATTTACGTGTGCGTGTGCGTGTGCGTGCGCGTATGCAAAGATATTGATGTAAATTGACGGAACCCTATATAAAGATGAAAATACCTTCAAAAACTATTATCGTTAGTATCCGATTATTTTCTTTTATCTTTCACAATGTTTGTCTATTCGTGTGGCCAAAAGTTTCTTATTTTACTTATTGATGTAGCCTGTTAAATATTATGCGTTTAGCAAACGATTCGTTAAAAGAAAATAATCAGATACTAACGACAATAGTAATAATAATAGATAATAATAGATAATAGATGATAATAGATAAATGATAATAGATAATAATTGAAGTTTAAAGAACGTTTACTTATCATTATATTGCCAAATTCATTTAAACTATTTAGTTTTTATTAAATATCGTGATTTATTTAGCTTTAATATTTTTTAGTGTTTTAGACTGTCATTCTAAGAACTTTTCGGTTATTTTCTTTTCATTTTCTTTTTATTCACAGCCGAAAGTATAATATAATAAAATACAAATGAATGTTTCATTAATTATGATTTTTACAAACATAACGTTACAACTACACTTGCTTGTCGCCAATAAAAGGAAACTTATTTGCTCGTAATAATTATTCCCTATAATAATAATAATATCCATATAGTCGTTAACACTCTAAGGATAATAGCGAATTATCTCTTTATATTTACCTTTCGCCTTTACATAATCTACCTAATGGCGAATTTGAATAACCGTAATATAAAAATCTTTATGATACAATATAACCTAAATGTGACAAAATCAACGGAAAAGTTAATCGAGGGATTGCACGAGGGTCGGATTTAAATATTCGAGTCCAGCTCGTCTTATACATATTTATTTGCTTACGAAAGGCAATTGTATACACTCCTCTAGATACTTTGACAGAACTTTTAAATAAAACATTTGATATGAAAAAATTTCGTTCGATAAGAATGGCCCACTTTACTTTCGCAATCATTTTAGAATTCAAAATTATGGCACGCACAGGCTTTTTCCTCTTTTATCTATTATTTGTCAATTATACTTAACAACGTACATTCAGCATCATTATTTATAATGTTTTAGTAAATATTGTCAATTTTTTACTACTTATATCTCACCTTATATGATGATTATAAAAACAAGCGAGTTATATATCACTCTTTCATCAATACATAAATACATTCTTTACAAGAACGTGTATAATATTTTGGATATTTTACTCGTGTTCATTATGTAAAATAAAGGTAAATTATTCAGGTGTACCCCGTGCATATTTTCAGGTAATTCGTATAAATTTACGCGTATGTTAAAAAAAAAAATAAATAAAAATAAATAACAATAATAATACCGAATTCGATATTTTTCAATATATTTTTAAAATACTTATGGTAATAATGGTAAACATTTAAGCTCGTCGCACACACGTATGTGTAATATATTTATAAACACGCATCAATTATCCATGAAAGCTTATATCTTCAAATTGAAATCTCATCCGAGATAATCCGATGTAATATCGTAAAATATAAATTGTTATATACATACGTAATTGAATTTCTCAATTGCAAGAGGATAATAATCAAAATATTGAATTAGATATTTATCATGTAAATCAACGGATATATTATTATAAAATAATGGCAATAAATAATGCATGGTAAGATAATTCATATTCAACGAAATACTTAATGGCTAAGAAATCTATTGAAACTTTATTACTTCGTGTCTAAGAATTGCTCTCGATTCATTGCAATTTGCTCATTTCATTTGAGTAATCACAAATGTTTGAATAGAGCAGTGAAATTCCAAAACTTTTATAAATTCAGGTCACTTAAAAACCCATGCATTCAGGATGATCGATAGCCTTACAATAACATATCGGCGTTCGGATTTTGACCGTGAGAAGCGAATAATAGAAGCTATTGGCGATAATCATTGAAGGAAGGATTAAAGACGCGCGCCCATATAATCAAAGCGCAACACCTATGCGCCGCGATAACACAACGAAAGGGTTAACAAACTGCGACGTCGATCGAAGGTATGGGTTTCAACAAGCAAAAGTGGCGGCAGTTGAGAGAGAAAGAAGAAGAAGAAGAAGAAGAAGAGGAGGAGGAGGAGGAGTAGGATGAGGAGGTGGAGGAGTAGGAGGAGGAGGAGGAGAACAAGAAGAAGAAGACGGAAAAGGAATAGAATAAGAAGAAAAGAAAGGAAGTGGTAGTGGTAGTGGTAGTGATTGTAGTCGTGATTGTAGTTGCAGTAATGGTGGTGGTGGTGGTGGTGGTGGTGGTGGTGGTGGTGGTGGTGGTGGTGGTGGTGGTGGTGGTGGTGGTGGTGGTGGTGGTGGTGGTGGTGGTGGTGGTGGTGGTGGTGGTGGTGGTGGTGGTGGTGGTGGTGGTGGTGGTGGTGGTGGTGGTGGTGGTGGTGGTGGTGGTGGTGGTGGTGGTGGTGGTGGTGGTGGTGGTGGTGGTGGTGGTGGTGGTGGTGGTGGTGGTGGTGGTGGTGGTGGTGGTGGTGGTGGTGGTGGTGGTGGTGGTGGTGGTGGTGGTGGTGGTGGTGGTGGTGGTGGTGGTGGTGGTGGTGGTGGTGGTGGTGGTGGTGGTGGTGGTGGTGGTGGTGGTGGTGGTGGTGGTGGTGGTGGTGGTGGTGGTGGTGGTGGTGGTGGTGGTGGTGGTGGTGGTGGTGGTGGTGGTGGTGGTGGTGGTGGTGGTGGTGGTGGTGGTGGTGGTGGTGGTGGTGGTGGTGGTGGTGGTGGTGGTGGTGGTGGTGGTGGTGGTGGTGGTGGTGGTGGTGGTGGTGGTGGTGGTGGTGGTGGTGGTGGTGGTGGTGGTGGTGGTGGTGGTGGTGGTGGTGGTGGTGGTGGTGGTGGTGGTGGTGGTGGTGGTGGTGGTGGTGGTGGTGGTGGTGGTGGTGGTGGTGGTGGTGGTGGTGGTGGTGGTGGTGGTGGTGGTGGTGGTGGTGGTGGTGGTGGTGGTGGTGGTGGTGGTGGTGGTGGTGGTGGTGGTGGTGGTAGTAGCGGCGATAGTGGTAGTGTTAACAGCAGAAAAAGGGTGGAGGCGCGGCTGCGACCTTGATGCGGTCGGACGCATCGCCGGGACAACAATCCTACTGACCCACTTTGGTATGCGTGCGTGCGTCACGTACCTTGAAGGTCTTGTAGCTGGAGACGACGTAGGAGGCACCGTCCTCGAGCTCGTCGAGGTTGAGCTTGCGGTCGCCGTCCATGGAGAATATGTGACGGGCGCCCCTCGGGAGATCCAGACGCAACGACAGTCGATCGAGGAGCGCCTCCAGGGAGCCGATGTCCCGCCCGGGCTTGAACCTGCACCAGTGCACCAGTGAACATAACGAATTGAACGCGACGGGGCCGAACGGGGGAAAAAGGGATGGCGAGGTTACGTAATGAGGTCGGTTGTTAGTGCGTGGCCGTGTAACGAGGCATCGATTGCCCCACGGGATTCGGGCCAGCGAGCCCGAGCGTATCTTACGCACCTGAACTCGACGCCGGGAAAATAGGGGTCGCCATTCCTGTAGAAGGTGACCCTGCGCGCTCTCCAGTAGCCGAGATTGTTGTATCGCGATGGTGGCTGGGCCGGCTGCTGGTGCTCGTGACGACTCCTGGGCCTGCAGCTCGACGCCGCCTGCTCCTGCTGCAGCGGCGGCTGCTCCGGGGGCGGCATGCGGGGACTGGAGGGTCTGCTCTGCCTCGTGCTCCAGTAACCGCCCATGCCGGCGAGCCCGGCCGCCCCCTCCCCAGCCGCCGGCCTCCTACCGTTGCCCGGCGTCGACGCCTTCCCCTCCAGCTCCTCGGTGAGCGCCCCCGACGCCACCACCGCCACCGCCGTCTTTACCGCTGCCACTGCCTCCCCCTCGGCCCTCACCTCGCCCACTTTCCTAATCCTCCCCCTCTTCCTCGGCCTCTCCCTCCTCCTCCTGCCCCTACCGTGATCGTCATCATCGTTCACCCCCTCATCGCCCTCCTCCTTATCATCATCCTCAACCACCACCGCCTCCTCCGCCTCCTCCTCACCCTCCTTCACCTTCTCGTACGCCTCCTCCTCCTCCTCCTCCTCCTCCTCCTCCTCGTCCTCGTCCTCGTG